TATATATATATATAAATATAATATATAATAGTGATAACATTACATCTAACTGCAATGTATATAAGGTATTAGGAGTCTACGGTAAATATGTATCGCTTTTAATCATATTGTAGAACATATATTGCTAGCTTCTTATCTGCATCAGTATGGTCAAATGTGATGAACATGTTCAGCTTTATTTTAAAATCCTCTGTTTTTACTCTTGTTTGATATATCGTATAAACTCTTTTTGTGGCTGCTTATAAACTTATCAACCAAGTTATCGCCCTTTGGTTAATGACTTTCGATCAGGTAGCTGATTGCCAAAGTGCTTTAGGATTTTATAGAAAGTGCTGCTGCAGCATCCGCAAACTACCTCCTCAAGCCTGTGTGTCATTTTAAGCATATTAGGCTGCAGTAATTCGCCTTCTAGCTTTAATTACAATATCACAGAAGGGTTTCATCATGTTGCCTCAGTTTACAATAAAAGCCTTGGAAAGCAAAGCTGTTGCCTCATCAGGTTTAAGTGTTTCTGTAGGTGCTGTGAAGTATACAGACTGAAAGACTGATGCTTGCAATCATTTCACAAGGTGTATAAAATACTGTACGGATTCGTTTTACGCCACTACCTGTTAGCCACTAAAGTGTGACTTTTACAAGTGTCGTTAAGATTGTTTCTTTACTCTTTACATAATGGCTCTAACGGAGCACTAGATTTATTTCTTTAAAGTTTTCATTCTTGAGGTTAAACACAAAAACAAATCATGATCAGCAAAGAAAATTGCAAGTTAAAAGATGTACAAAGAACATAATGGCCAAAGGAGAGAAATCTGTATAAAACAAGATCCTGACAGAAAGTATAGTGAGTTTTACCAACCTGCTTTCACGAATCTCAGGGGGTCGGGTTTTACTTTAAGAAGTAAGAAGAAGGCAATGTGTAGAAAGACAAAAAAACGTTCTGCAGTGGGAACATTTCTTTCTGCCTTTGCAACCACAATATCATTTAGAAAAAATAATGAAGAAATGTGGCTTTCCTTTAAGCACCAATGGTGTGTGAGTGATGGGGTGTTTACTCACCGGTGTGGGGGATTTGAGTGGGTGTGCTGCTGCTGCTGCTTCATCCACTCCGGGCTCTGACTGCTGGCAGAGTGTGATTGAAGTGGAATGACTGATAGTTTGATTTTACAAATACCTGAGGAGCTGAACAAAGCACCGTATCCGGCGGGCGTTGCACCCTCTGGGATTGGTGTTGTGTGTTCCCCCCCCCTCCAAAGCAGCTAGCTGGGAGCTTTTTCATTACACAGAGTGTAGTTGATTGCATTTTCTCCGGCACTTTCTGAAGTGTCTAAATGGAGCCACTATACAGTCATCGCCTCAACACCATTCAGGCTACAAGCCGCTGCTTAGACTGTCAATTCAGTCAGCTAAACATACAAATTAACACACTTCAAAATGTGTATACTCCGATATACTTGTCCAACACAAATGTTCAGTTTTTAAAAATCTATGCCCAAATGTCATGTAATCACAATCACTAGCATCGCACAGCAATATATGCTGGAAGCTGTCATCGACACTTGCAAGAAGAGCAAACAAGTTGACATGTATTCACCGTTTTAAGGCATTGCTCTATTTATGTAATTCTATATACCGTCAGTCTTTAATCTACTATACTTAATGGGAGATCTGAAAATCCAATGTAATATGCAGGGAATGCGGGAATACACAGAGAAAAAGAGGAATGAGACGCCCGTTTTGCTGCATATTTGTTTCCCTAAGTTTGAATTTAAATGTCAAATTCACCTACTCTACATAGTTTGACATGTTTAAAGCCACAAGACAACACAACATGTGGAATGAACTTACCCAGAGGAGGTCTGATATCGCTCTGTAACACTTCACCCTCGAAGTCTTGCACACAGAGGAAGCCCTGCAGAGCTTTCACTTTGCTTTGCACATTTATGTATGAGCACACTGCACACGGTTGAAAAAAACATAGTTTGCCATGAAAAATGCACAAACATGGAGAATATACAAAAGAGCAATTTCAGATTACCGTGGTCACTGTGATAAAGTAAGATATTTAATATTTCGGCAATATATGCATGAAAAAACTAATCAATATTGTCTGCCTGAAACTATTTGCAAAGCCCGCGTCCCACTGTCCCGAAATTGACACCCAATGAACAAACGAATATGGAATTGTGAATTTCACACGAAGATGGCCCCGAACCACACACAAAGGCAACATTTACATTACATTTAAGACATACAACTGCAACAAAAGTAACAAAAAAGATTATGTTAAAGTTCTATGATACTGTACTGATATTTTCAGACTTCGTTCTTTACTTTATCCATCTTTATAGATATGAAGTTTTCTCCGTAATGTTGTTTCCATAGCAACAACAGCTTCCTGTCAACTCACCCTCAAAATAATATATTATATACTTTTCAGTTTCAC